CTAATTTTCTGAAACTCCCATATGACCCATGCTCCTACAGAAAAGACCACTGTCAGTAGCGTAGCAGGGCTCTCAGGGTCACGCAATCACGATATTATGTACGACACTACGGAATTCGAACCCTAACCCTGAACTCAAAGCCGAAACCATACAACTTTAAACTTACAAACCTTATAGCCTACGTATAGGCTCCATGGTAGTTCCTTTTTGTGATATTTTTCCTTTCAGGTAATCCCAAACAGGAACTACTATGGAGCCTATGGGTAAAACCTATAACCTCAACTTGGCTGACAGGATCCTCTCGAAGCAAAAACCCGCAAGCCTTTGCGTGGAACATTTGGAAGCTCGCGGCTTCGGCTGGAGGATTTCGAAGGGAAATGACCAGAAAAAAACAGTTATGAAATGAATCCACTGTAGTCGGGGATGTCTAGTGGAGTCTAGTGTCTATTCTCGACCCTACGTCCAAAACTCTACACCGAACCCCTTACTTAAATCCTTATGATGTATATGTATATATATATATATATATATACATATATACACACACCTTGGACCTTAGATATGTTCATTAATGCTTCCTCTCCTTCAGCTTGTTTCTTTACGCAGAAACTGTAGCGTTGGAGGGTGTGGGGATCAACGATTTGAGGGTTCAAGCAGTTTCCGGATCTGCGGGGCCACCGTAAAGTTGAGGGATGAGCTGCTAGGTTTTAGGGTTTAGGGTCTAGGGTTTAGGATTTAGGGTTTAGGGTCTAGGGTTTAGGATTTAGGGTTTAGGGTTTATGTGAAACGAGCAAACCGGCTCTGGCACACACCCTGAAGCCACCGATCTTCTGTTTGAAGTCGAATCCCCCGCTGGATACCCAGCCCGAGAACCCTCAACAGAAATGCTGTAGATCCATGTTTCGTACTCACTCATTTCAATATAGGGATTATGATGCCGATCGGAGGTCGAAGGTCCTGAGTCCCAGGGATTCTTTCGAGAGGTCTTTAAATGGCATTCGGCCCGAAGCTCCTGATCTTATCCCGCCAGGCCTACTTATGCAGGAGTCTTAGTGACTTGAAGAAATAGGGGTGCTTCGGCTCCATTGCGGTATAGTCAGCATAAAAGCCGCAGATTGGGATTACTATTGCGAAAGATGCCTCGCAGCCCGACAGTCGGTTCGAGTTCAGAGAACCCTACTCAAGGGCTCCTATGTAGTTCCTGTTTGGTTAGTATACTAAACAATTCCTTACTGAGGAACCATGACAGACCCAAAAAGGAACTACTTTAGGGCCTATGGGTAAACCCTAAACCCCAAACGAAGCCGGAAGCCACCTGCTGCGTGCGGGGCTCGCCCTTCGGCGAAACGTGCATTTTCGCGTAAGACACGCCGGGATCGACCAAACCGAAAGGCGTACAGTCTAAACGTTAAACGCTGAACCCTGCAAGCTGAAGCCGTATAAGATCTTTACAGAACTCCAAAAAATACCTTTACAGTCCCTGCTCATGGAATCATAAAGCCTGCAGGCACTGAACCACTGTACTCTCTAAGCGTAGGCGCTCCCTACACGAAGGATCAGGAAACTTAGTAGCTAATTGGGTGGGCTCGACCGTCGAGTTTCACTTAGGCTAAACCCAGCCGTGGTTCTTTCAACTCCATCTGTTGACCTACTGCGTAACGTTTATCTACTAGCCAAATCCCCACATCCTCGCGGAAGCTGTAGCTCGAAACCCTACAACATAGTAGGGTATGACCGGGTATGACTCCATTGTGGAAAAAGTAGGAACCCCCTGAAACCTAAAATCCTGAAGCAACAACTGAAAGAGTAGGTAATAGAGCATGAGGTTGGATTTTGGTATCTATGATACTGTTGCTAACATAAGCAGCCCAAATTGGCCCCAGTCTAATCACTAGGGTTCACATTAAGAACCCAAAACCTACTTTTTCGTAAGGTCCCTATAAATCCCATATTAGGGTTTTATAATAAGACCCTTCAAAAAAGTGGGTTTTGCGTTCTTAAGGTAGGGATCAGGGTGAGGTTGACCTTCTCGGTTGTGCAGATTGAAAGAGTGGGAGTTCCCGGCTGTGTAGCGGCAGTGCGCTGGGGACTCAAGCGTCCTGCCTTCCCATGTCCCCAGAAGCCCAAGTCATGCCCCATCTGGGATTTGGGGTCTTCGGGTTTCTGTTCGTTCAGTGGGTTCAAGTTCAGCGGGTCATAATTCCAGAATTTTCGAGCATACATCCAATATGAGGAGGATATGATGGAGTGGTGAAATGGGCTCCATGAGCGTCTCCGTATCAGACAAAGGTTTGATGGAGAGCAATGATGCCCTCAGGCGCATCGAAGTCCTGAAACTCTCAGATTGCGCTGCTGGCTGCGGAAGACTCGGGTTTGGGACGAGACTCCTTTAGACTTACGTCTCTCTTGATTGACGCATCCGAGGCTTCGTCCATATTCCGCAACCCTGATCCATGAAAGGCTGGGGTTTGGGGTTCAGCCTGGCTCAAGGCTTTTCAGGAATTTCCAGAAAAGCTGACCTTCAGATGTGCTGGCTGCGGTTGAGAAAGGAGCAAATTTAAGAAGCAAGTTCTGCAATAGTTGGGGTTACCCTAAAAGGCTCCCCGTAGAAGTCCAGTTACAATGAGGCATTGGTAACCGACTTCACGGACAGCTTTGCAAGATAGTTCCGTGCTTGGATCCACAAACGAATCCGTCGCTCGTAACATACGGACCCCCGACAGGACCCGAGTTTTTGAGTTTGGGGAAGCCACATACCGGAACAGCCTTCAAGGCTACGACAACTAAGGGATTTGCCTAAACACTAAACCCTAAACCCTTATTTGATCTGAAAGAGCTGAGCTCCACCATAGTAAGGCCTTTGAGCAGGGCATAGCGGTTCCCCAAATTGTACCCGGACCCTGCTACGGAGTTCGAGCCTGCGTGTTGTGAACCCAAGAACCCACTACTCACCTACGCACTGCAAACCCTCCGACAACAAAATCCTAAACTGCGACTTACTTCAGTCCGAACATGTCTCCGCAGTCCTGGAACAAAGACTCCACAAGGCCCGCGCTGGGCCCTTTTGGGTAGCGCTTCCTCTGTGTGGCAGGGAACGGCACGGTCACGGGTGACGGGATCGAACAGTTGGGGAGGCATCCTTGTCTAATTAGGGTTTACAGGCAGCGATTTTTCTGAAGCTCTCAGATTGCAACACCCCTCAACCCCAACACCGTGGCAGTTCGTTTCACTGGGGATGGTGCGGTCTAGAGTCTAAAGTCCCTTTCATTGGCATGCCGTCTTGCATGTTTTGCAAAATGCAGGAACCTGAGGAACTGGTTCGTTCCGGTTAGACTTCCTGTGTCCTTCGACGCACCAGCAGCTCTGCCCTCAAACTCCAATCCCACCGAATAAGGCAGAGGATCTACCGAACTCTCTGCTGAACTACGCAGGCCTTAAAGCTGATACCCTGAACCAAAGGTTGGTTCCAGCAAGTCCGAGGAACCAATACGTACCGCAAAATCCCGCTTAGCTTCACGATGCAAGCAACTCTGCAGCATGGCCCCGCAGCACTATCAAAACCCCAAAATATTCATCCTCAGCCCTAAACCTAAACCTGAAGGCCCTACGAGCGCCCTCCCTCTTGCTCCGAAGCCCCATGTCCTCAGCGATAAGGCTCTAAAGCCCACAGCAAGCCCCGTTCAACTCAAGAAATTCAAACCTCGAAACCCCGAAAAAACCCAAGTCCCAAAACTCAAAAACTCACCAATCCCCTTTAGCCCCGAACAGCCGAAACCCCCAAGTCCCACCTCTTCGAGAGAAGCTTGGGTTCAAGGTTTAGGGATTGGGGTTTTGGGCTTAGGGATTAGGGATTAGGGTTTAGGGTTTAGGGTTTAGGGTTTAAGGGGTTTTGGGCTTTTTGGGATTACCGAAGAGCCCCGAACCGTTGGCTGTCAAGAGACTCATCGTAGATCAGCACCAGAGTCTCATCCTACTCGTCGTGTGTGTGAGCGCTCTTTCGTTCAGCTACTAGTAGAGCTAGGAATCATGGCCCCAAACCCTAAACCCTAAACCCTAAACCCTAAACCCTAAACCCTAAACCCTGAATCCTAAACCCTAGAGCTAGGGTTCATGGCGCAGGCACGAGAATTCAGAGGTTAGGGTTCGGAACTCCAAGGAGCTCTTAGGTGACTCTGTGAGGAAAGCGCCCTCGGTTTAGGATCACGAGTTCAGGGTTCAGGGTTGGCTTCGGAAGTACTGTAAAGGCTAACCAGGTCTTCGGCTCCTTGACGAGAGCTGTATGAAAAAAAGACAAGGGAGGAGCAGGGCTAAGGAATTAAAGCCCACCTTTTAAGGTCGTTGGCAGCATAGTCGACCGGAAACCCCGCTGTACAAATCCTACGGCTCCAAATCCTAGAAGCATAACCCGCTGACATAATCGTAACTCCTTGTAGCGACCCGAATTTCAAGACACCCGAAATTTCAAAACACTGAATGAGGGAAGTGTCCTCAGTCTAACGAGGGGTCCGCCCCTCAAAGAAACTAACCCCAAACACCTGAAACTGCAGATCGCAAGAAAAGGGACAGTATCCGTTGCAAAATCAAGAATCAAGAAATCATCGCTGAAATATACCCCATAAACTTAAACCCTAAACCGCCTAAAGCCCTAAACCCGCAAATATTGCCTTGAGAAGGGAAGGGACCCCTTAATCTGACTGTACCCCTGTTTACAAACCTCTGCAGAAACCCTTTCCAATCATGAAAGCCCTATGCCCTAAGCCCTTATAATTTATAATAATGGCCCTTATGATCCATATATCGTCTAGGTAATATAGGGGCCTTGATAATTGACTATTCTATTTAGGGGGTTCCGTAATATATAGTTATAGTATACTATACCCCAAAACCCTATTCTAATTCTTAAGAACCCTATATAAACCCTAAGCCGTAAACACCTAAATCCCTAAACCCTAAACCCTGAACCCTAAACCCTAAACCCCTAAACCCCTAAACCCCTAAACACCTGAACCCCTAACCCCTAAACCCCGAACCCTAAACCCCTAAACCCCGAACCCTATAATCCTCTTCTGGTCTGGCCTTCGGCTGCAAGAAGTTGTTGTTACCCCAGTCGGTGTATTCGCCTTCTCTGCGCACTATAGGGTTTAGGATGTAGGGTTTAGGGTTTAGAGTTAAGGGTTTAGGATGTAGGGTTGAGGGTTTAGGGTTTTAGGGTTTAGGGTTTAGGGTTTAGGGTTTAGGGTTAGGGTTAGGGCTTAGGATTTAGGGTTTAGGGTTTAGCGGTTAGGGTTTAGGGCCTATGTGGTGCAGACTCGGAAGTCAAGAACCCAGCCAGCGCTCCAAAAACTCAGGTGCTTAAAGGCTGCGGGTCCAACTACCTACCGTTTTCTTGGAAATGCCCTTGAACTATGACGACTTAGTCGTCCTCCCATTTCGCAGTAGGGTCTATGTGCCGAGTATTTAAGCCTTCCACACGCAGGAATCCCCCTGGGAAGGTGCCTCAAGCAATGTCCAAATGGACAACCCGGATTTTGGACTCAGGATCCAAGGTTGAACGTTTAGAGTTTAGGGTTGCTGAACTTCGAAGGTTCGGGTTGACTTAAATTCAGGGGCTTAGGCTTGCTATCAGGTTTAATGAGGGTATGTTGAGGGGGTTATACCGGCACTATGATTGCTTCAATAATTAGTGTCTACTCATAGGGGTTTCTGAGGGTGTTTAGGAACCAACCTCCTGAAACCTCAAACCCTGAACCTCAACTCCCTAAAGTAACCGCCAACATCGCCAACACATCATTACCCCCTAACCACACACCGAATGCGGAAGGCTAGCCAGACCAAACCATCCTATCGCAGCATGGAAAAGATGTCCGGCTGAAAGCCTCGGGGTCTGGCCCGGGGATGTTAGGTCCTGGCCCTGTTTGATTTGGGTTTAGGGTTTAGGGTTTAGGGTTTAGGGTTTTGGGTTTTGGGTTTATAATAGGGTTTAGGGTTTAGGCGTTTAGGTTTGAAAGGGTTTACAAGGCCTAGAAATCATGTCCAGATTGCTTCGGCTTGAGGAAGTCTTGGTGACTGAAAAGAAATTCTAAAGTCCTGCGGCTGCGCCGGCTGCTGTGATAAGGTCAGGTTTTCGTGCCAACACACCCACCTGGACCCCGAACGTATGTAGAATAATAGCCTTTTAGAGGTTTTGGGCCATTATTCTACCTAGTTTGGGGGGTTTAGGCAAGGGTTTTAAGGTCTACTCCTTGGTACTTCGCTTTACCGGCCTGCCCCCAGCGCTATCCACATGGACACGGGATAGTCACTCCTGGGTTGTGGATTCGGTTCGTCTGAAAGCTATGCTTCCAGGGCAATGTAGGGGCCTTAAAAATTAGAATAGGGTTTTGGGGATATTATACTGTACTTATAATAACCCCCCAAACCCGTATATTATGTCTAAGAATGCTTTTGGTTCTATCGCCAGCCGTTGGGGTCTTCCTTGAAGGCAAGAGGTCATACCGGCTTCAAAGCTCATCTTCGGGCTTCTGTGGCTTGGGGTTTAGGGCTTATAGGGCGTGGGGGGTGAGGGGTTTAGGGTTTGGGGCTTAGGGCGTGAAATTTAGGATGTAGGATTTAGGGGTTTAGGGTTTCGGGGTTTCGGGTTTAGGCTTGAGGGCTTTTGTCTCAAAAGTTCAAACCCAAGAAGTAGACAGAACTCCTAGCCGTGGAGCCGGGAGGGCTGGAAGGCACACGGACAAGGCGGTAGCTTCACTATGCTTTATGCTTTGGGATTCTGTGGTAGCTGAGTCATCGCCTATGAACCGGAAATCCTGCACTGCACGCCCCAAACTCGAACTGCTCATGGGCGACGCAAATTTCAGAAACAGCGGCTACCTCCCCTTGCAGATTGGCGTTTATTGCTTCATTTGGACAGGGGGCTGCACGAGGCGGGGGAAAATCTCCTCCCACTTGTCTGTGTCTGTCTGGGTGTTGATGCGCTCAACGATCCAGTCCAACCTTCGCGCTTTATACAGCAAAAACTTATAAGGACTATATTGATTTCGTCACTTTAGTCTTAGATAGTGAAGCTTGTGCTCCAATAATCCAAAGACGTCGTTAAGCCCGATGATCACCAAACCCAGAACCCTAACGCCCATGAGGCTTCACAGTCCCTGTCGCTGCTCAGAGATACCAGATAAACCTTAACCTCAGCCTGAAAAGCTCACAAACCAAAGCCCAAAACCATAGCTTTTAAGCTTTGGGGCAGACCATGCAGGGTCTAGTAAACCCGTAAACCTTAAACCCCAAACCCTGAACCCTATAAGGTTTAAGGCTTCAAAAAAGCTGATAAAGTTCCAAGCTGAAACCTTTCCGTTGGTGATTCGAACCCCGTAACCAACCCTATAGAGCCCCGGAAACAATCTGGAGATCTTCAGTTTAGGGTTTAGGGTTTCATTATAATTGAATGGGCTCTTTGGAAATTATGCTGCAACTAAGAAGGCACGATACCCCACAATGGAACCCATTCGGCACGCACGGCCCCGACCGTTTCTTTAGGTCTTTACCCAAGGGCTCCTATGTAGTTCCTTTTTGGATAGTATACTAGAACTCCTTACCAAAAAAGCCATAACAGACCCAAAAAGGAACTACCTTGGAGCCTAAACCCTAAACCCTAAATCCCTAAACCTAAACCCTAAATCCCTAAACCATAACAGACCCCAAAAAGGAACTACCTTGGAGCCCCTGCACAAGGCCTACGGCTGCCCTATCAACCCGAAACTCCTCAAGGACACCACTGCCGAGGAACAAGGCATCGTGGAAAAGAAGGTAATTCCTGCATTAGGGTGTAGGGTTTAGGGTTTAGGGTTTAGGGTTTAGGGTGCCAAAGGGTACCTCCATATTACAATGTAGGGTTTGAGGTCTAAGGTCCTCTATAGTA